CTGTGCAGCTATGGAGGGAAGCTGCAAGCGCTCACCGAATTTATCCCTTCTCCTGTGGCGATTTCTTCTTGGCAGAGAGAGATGAGTAGCTTAACTTCCAAATGAGATGAATAGAATTCTCTGTGGGATTGAATTATTTTTAGATGTTGTATCATTGGGATTTCTTATCCCAGTGTTTGATGCTTTTGGCTGGGGTGATGAACCTGCTCTGAACTTATTCCACGTGCCTGATTGAGTGCATGCTTGTATGCTCCTGCTCTCCTTCTGTGTCTCTGTTCCGCCAAACCCGGGGGTCCGAGGAGAATTTATACCAAGCTTTGTCCCTTTATGTTTGAACCATCAAATCTGTCTCTTGAGTGATGAAGGTACAACTCTTCCACGGTTACTCCCTCACTGGGCTCCTCTGAAAATATTGCATTTACACAGTACTGATCTTTTCAAATTGCGTCCTAGCTGATTCATCCTAGCAAATATTTTGTACTTAGAAAATTAAGGACATAGTATCATAATTTCTGGCAGTTTCTGTGGTACATTTACATCTTTTTGTCTGAGGATGTTTATTTAAGCACTAGAATTCCCACCGTTTTTAAAAATGTGCCATGATGATTCTTAAAGCTCAGCCACTTCATTACATTTGGGTCTGAGAACCAAGCAGCAGTGTATTTTGTGTTGAAATAAGCATTTTAAGAGAAATACTTAGTAAGAAAGGAAGTAAGCATGGTTTTGTCTTCTTAATGGTACAAGCTATAGTTATTGGCATTGGCAGGGATTTCTTCTCTGTAGAAGGGAAAGGGGAAAAAAACTGTACAGTTAGATGGTATTGCTGCAGGTAGAACCTTATTTTTCATCGCTACATCTTTTTATATCTGCATTCAGTAGTTAAAAGCATTTCCTTTGGCAGAGAGGAGTCAAAAAGCTGTGCTGAGTCCTGGCATGTGAATTATTCGTGCTTCTCCAGGTTGTCCATCTGTAAGCACTGGCCCTGCGTGAACTGCCGGCAAGGTGCAGAGAGCAAATATTGCAAAACGTTTTCAAGTCTTTTGAGAATGACCAATAAGTGCACTCTCTGAATAATTTTTATCCTTAAATATGTTCTTACCCCTTTTTTTCTTCTTTTTTTTTGTTTCTATAGTCAACTCTGGCTAGCCTTATTCAACCCCAGCATATTTGTTTCATTAGAGAATAGATTATGTTCAATTAAACCAAGAACATGTTTCACTACTGTTAAAGCAATGCCAATTTAAAATTGTGCATGCACAGAAAAAGGAATAGTCACAGTCCCTTGCTAAGTGGGATTTGAAATGATTCAATATAAA